TTTAAACTGCCTGTGAAATAACATTTTTTGACGAATGGCAATTTCATGGCAAAAATAAAAAACAACAACAAAAAAGGAGCTTTGTGCAAGCATATTGCATTAAACAACAAGAAAGGCTCTTTCATACACCAGTGGTTGGACCTAACAGATCCTGCACTGGTATAGTGATTACATCCTACACCTCTGTCAGAAAGCCAATCACAGGGAGCTATTTCTGACTAATTCTGCATGCAGATAAGGGTTGTCATTATCACCGAAACCCCCTCAGGATGGGGCTTCTGCCTTCTAAAGTAGTGTATGTTTCTCGGTGATTTTGATCAGGGAAGTCAGATTCAAGTGTGATGGAGGAACAGAAGTGTGTGTTCACCCATCAGTTTAAATAATACACGATGTCCCTGTTTCTTTGGTGATTACAGGGACAATTCAGACTGTTTTTAGCTATAAAGAAAACATTCAAAGACAAGGTACTTTGTCACTGTTAATTAAAGACTTACTCAGGAATGTGAAAAGGGCTGGATGGCAAAAATGGAGCTATAATGACACCGAATCCACTTTGACTAATGACATTTCATGTCAAAGGGCCTATTAGACGTGCCCCGAGACATCAGCATGATACTCGAATCTATTTGGAAAAGCATCTCTCTGCAGGATGCGTCAGTCAGTCTCTTTGCAGTCATTTCACAGAAACCTTTATGTAATCTGTAATTTTCCACTAATAAAGCGGTATATGTGAAATTTGTGAAAATTCACGTTTACAGCAGAAGCAGATGAGAGTAGTGGGATAATTGATAATAAAAGACATATTGACATTATGTTCCATTAGTAATGAAACTGATGACTTACAAAAACAGAAAACCAGATATTGCTGTGGAAAGTATTAAATGTGTTTGAGAGCAAGATCAACAGCCAGTCTAATCAATATTTCATATTAACAATCAATCAGTTGAGTGTGTGTTATCCAAAGGTTCTTGTCTGCAGAGGACTATCACATACAGTTTATTCGTCCAGGCTCCACATGGGGTATTAGCATCATTTGATTTTCACATCTCTTATCTGGTTTACTTGCCAGCTGCAACATGCAAAAACAAAACTGTTAAGAGGCAAACTGAGCATTCAGCAGAACCAGAGGATTGCATTCTCTCAGGGTTTGATGGAGACTAAAGTAGAGCTACAATAAAGGCAATATTGCACTAACAAGGTCGCTGGACAGCAAAGTTTAAAGCTCTTTAACACTGCAGTTGGATATAGAGTTAATGTAGGTTTGTGGTGTTGGCTCTTTTCTCAAGTATTTACCCTGTTGTATTCATTTTCACATAGAAGTCATTCGTGTTTCCTCAGGCAAGTCCAACTTGAAAACGGCAGCTTGGCTCGTCATCTTTTACCACACTGAAAGGATGAGGCTGTGAGGATTTTACACTTCAGCCAGGGGCAATAAAGGCGATGACTCACTCGTTCGCTTCTCTGTGTCTGTGCAGGCCAGCCTCATCATGGTCAACTGCACCACCCATCCCCCCCCCCCAAGTCTGAGTTAACAGCCGGTCCCCAGCAGGATGAGCTGGCTGTAAACCACACCAGGTCTGTTAATTAATTAATGTACCCTAACTGCAGGGCTGGTTCCCTCCATTCTAGTGGAGCAGTTTTCAGCTGGCTGCACTGGTGACTGCCGGTGCTTTTGGGTTCCTGCTCTGGTGTGACATAAAGGCAACGGATAGACATGACCGTGGATAGGAGGAAGACTTCATCACCATAGTCACTATTAATCACCCAGGGCCATTGTGGTCCTGTCCTGTAAACAGCGCAAGTGCAGGCAGAGAAAGAAGAGAGGAAGAGGGGGCAGGGTGGCTGCAGGGAGAAAGAGGGGAGAGAATGGTTGGGGATCAGCCTGTATGCCCGCCTCAGCTCCTACTGCGGGGCTGGGGAACAGTGCTGCTGTCTCAGTGTTTGTCCTCCGTGTTCTCCCAGATCCCGGATCCTGAGGTAAGAACCTGATACATCACCTTGTCCTCCACAGGTTCCTCTCAGAAAGAGCCTCGAGGTTTCTAAGTGACGAGTGCAGGTACATCGGCGTTTTAAGGGGAAGCCTAAATGTGTACGATTAATGCTCCTTTGTATTGCCGCCATAGTTGTGTCTTGCCTTATTGGATGAGGAGAGGGTGAACCTATGTTGAACCCTGATATATTATATGGGCTGACATGAACAGCCATGTCACACATGTTTAAATGGGTGCTCTTAGAGGGGAGCTAGGTGACTAGTACTCGAAGGGTTTTCGTGCTTTTGATCGGGATAGAGAAAAAAGAGTTACATTCAGAGAATTTGATTAGACCTGGCTACAAAAATGATCTGAAGTCCATTTTCTTAGGTATGAAACAATAAATGATGACTGCATGACTAAACATTCTTATAACATCAAGTCAATCAGTAGTAGTCAACTACAGGAACATGAAAGTGAATGAATTTTGTGTTGAATACTAATAGTGTGATATTTAATGTGTTCCACAAGGAAACAATATACCAATGTTTATCTATGACTCATTTTTGCATCAACATCCTCTGAACTTCAGTTTGCAGCAAACAGGTTTAAGAGAAAGATGAGAGAAAGCACGAGAAACTTCTAGTAACAGTCTCCCTCTTGGTGTTTGTGTGATGCCTTTTAAGAGCTTGAGACAGAAGATGGTTAATAAATAATAATAATGTTTGTTGTTGCTGTAGAGGACAGCAAAACTATATTCTAGTAAGCATGTGCTAAATGTAGAATTAAATATAAGGCTTTAGATTTCAGGAAATTGTTTGTCCATATTCTTTGTGCATAATATTGGTCCTGTACTTCATTACTTGAGTAATTGGCCTTTTGCTCTTATATGTTGAGTCATTTTTAACCAAGTGCACACTTTTCTATTTTTAGGTATTAATCCCTTGTTCTTATACTAATGTTCCTTGATTAGT